GATCACAGAGGACCCCTCTCATCCCCTCCATCACTCATTCCAGCTGCTCCCGTCAGGCAGAAGGTTCAAAGTTACATTATGTCAGTGACATCTCATATCTTACCCCAGTCTGAAAAAAAAATGTAATCAATAAAATTTGCATCAAAGCATATCTGCTTCTGGATGCATTTTTGCAAGAGGGCAAATTTGACCACAAACAGCACTGGCATGTAAGCTACATACAGTCATAGGCTACAATGACAAGCAATGGTGCACTGATTCACACGAGTGCTATATTTTGTATTTTGTTGCCTATTGTGTACTGATTGTTTGGAGGTGCTCATACATTGTGTCAAAGTTGAATTGTTTGAAGGCAAAGTTTGCTTTTGTTCCATATTTTAAATGTTTTGACACAGTTGTTGCCTTTTGCAAATATGTGTCATTTTGACCACTGTGTCAATGTTTAGGCCTCTGCGTTAACTGTTTTGAAAATGTGGTTTTTGAGCTGACGGCTGCGTCAAACCAATCAATAAAAACTGTAAATATGTGCATGTTGACACATGCAGCTCCCTGAGCAAACAGCGTCATATTCATTTAGATAATTTGCCAGACGTGACAGTCTTTGATTCAAGGGGTAAARGGTGATCAAAACCTAGAGAATGGACTCAAAGCCTCCGTGCTACACTTCATGTTTCTGTTTATAATAAACACAATTAAAGAGCAGACAAGGTCTTCTGTGGATTATCCATTGTGTGTGTGTTTGGACTTGGCTTTACATTTTATTTTCTCTTTGTTATTAAAGTGGACATATGCTGCATTTAAATCMTTCTTTTTCACATTTAAACCATTCAGTTGGGGTCTATATAAAGTAGAACTGCAATGGTAAATGGAATGTACTTGTATGGCACCTTTCTATGAAACCAGGAGACTCAAAGTGCTTTACACTACAATCTGTGCTCTTATTAACACAGCATTTTACTAGATCTCTCTACAAAGCTAATACAGATAAAATCATCAGAGGCAGTGGGGGTTCAGCATCTTGCTCAGGGACACTTCGACATGCGATAGAGTTGGAATCGAACCGCCAACTCTTGCATTAGAAGAACGACTCCCCTAACCACTCAGCCACAGCTGCACAACGAGCTGGTCTGAATTCCTCCTTATTGTAACTCCACAAGCCCTTCTTTCACTTCTTTTCAGAGGTGTATCACAGATCAACTCATTTTGATGCTGTTGCTAAAAATCCAAACAAGGTACCTCCCACCCTGCCCCCCTCCAGTTTGATAGAAGGGTTTATAGCTATCTGGCGGCACAGAAGCATTTCATTTTCAAATTATTTAAAAGATGTCAACAAGGGAAGACTTGTACATCCAGCCTGACATGTTGGAACCAGAGTCTGACCCAGAGCCAGAGGAGAATGAAGACGAACAAATTGTAGTTTGTAAGTTCRGATCTTWTATGTCCGTTCTGTCCTTATTAGTTCAGAAAACATCATAGAAAATAGAGAAATCTTAACAGGTTGAAAAACACAACCCAAATAGAATATAAAGATATCTATGCAGCACCAGGAGAGACTAAATTACACTTTTCTGCCTCCTACAGTATAGACTCCAAGTACACAATAAAATGTATTTATTAGCAAAAAAAAAGGTGGATTTTGGTGGATATGTCCCTTTTAATACCAAACAAGCAACCAGACATTTCAAGCAGAAACTCAAACATTTGCATTCAGGCACATTAGGTAAGTAGGTGGTGCTGGGCTTATTAACACTATTATAGAAATGATACACTATATTGCCAAAAGTATTGGCTCACCTGCCTTGACTCACATATGAGCTTAAGTAACATCCCATTCTTAATCTATAGGGTTCAATATGACATCGGTCCACCCTTTGCAGCTAGAACAACTTCAATTCTTCTGAAGGCTGTCCATAAGGTTCAGGAGTGTTTATGGGGATTTTTGACCATTCTTCCTGAAGCACATTTGTGAGGTCACATACTGATGTTGGACAGAAGGCCTGGCTCTCAGTCTCCACTCTAATTCATCTCAAAGGTGTTCTATCGGGTTGAGGTCAGGACTCTGTGCAGGCCAGTCAAGTTCATCCACACCAGACTGCCATCCATGTCTTTATGGACCTTGTTTTTTGCACTGGTGCACAGTCTTTTGGATGGTTGAGCAAATACTTTTGGCAATATAGTGTACATATACATATGTAAATGTACATCTGAATAACAAAACTTAAAATGTTCTGTATGTTAAAATTAAATAAATAGCATTTTTAAAAAACATTTAAAATCAAGTACAAGTACTCGCTCAAAATGCCTCGATATGCAGAACTGATACCATTTATTGTTTTTGTAAATTGCATTTAAATTTTAAACGCAACCACTCCAGCTTTATACTGTCAATGTGACGCACGCACAGAAGATGAAGTGACGCCATATTCCACTTGCTGTTTACAGGAGGAAACAAGTTGCTACCCACGGATGCTACTTGTTAGCTTGTCAATTCTGAAGTTGTGCAATTTGAGCCGGTTAAATAATTGTCTGAAAAGATGACGCAACTGAAGACGTAGAGCAAGAAGATTTAAACTGCAAGACTCGAGGTTAGTAAAATTACTTGGATCCATCTGTACACCCCCACCTCTCAGAAGTAAAGTCTGACAAAGGTGATGTGATTCAAAGCCCGCTATCTTACATGATTTAAATCTTGGGGTGGCTGTGGTGTAGTGGTAGAGCAGCCGGCTTGGGACCCGAAAGCCACAGGTTCGACTCCCCGCCATGCCCACATGTCGTGGTGTCCTTGAGCAAGACACCCAACCCCCAAATTCCCCGCTCCCCGGGCCCTTCTCATGTGTGACGGGTCAAATGCAGAGCACAAGTTTCGTCATTGTACGGGAACATGCACTGATGACTAATAAAGTACATTTACCATTAAAAGGTTTTCCTGCTTTGGCACACCTGATTTAAATGAATGAGTGATTGACAGGCTTCTGCTGAACTTATAGACCTGCTGAAGAGCAGAGAAACAAGTAAAACATGCAGGATAATGGTCCTCGAGGGCCAGGATTATAAACCTCTGGTTTAGACTGAGGTTCGCTTTGACAAACATCAGATTTGTACCTGATTTAGTACCAGGTTCTAGTTTTAAAAATGTGTTTTTATAATCACTGCATAATGTTTAAGATTTTGAATACGAGTAAATACTCGTATCGGAACTCTGTATTGGCGAGTATCCAAACGGAAGAACTCGTACACAGTTTGAAAAAAAAAAACTGCTATTGGTACATCCCTAGTTGCAGTATTTAGTAAATAATGATAGTAAGGTTGTAATAGCTAGCTCACATTTTTGTATTACAATAATAATTAATCAAAACTATTAGGGATGCACTGATATGAAAATTTCAGCTGATATCGATACTCGATATAATTATTGCTGCTATGACCGATTATCTAATTATTTATACGTACAAACACACTTGTGTCTTTTTTTCAATACTGTAAATAAACGACCAGACCGCTGACATGTCTCTCTACCTGAGTTATTCCTGGCTGCGCAGCGTCACTATCATGATCAAACAAATGCCACTCGACCAACCATTTCCCCTCCCAAAACAGAAACACAAAACTAAAAAGTGGGAAATCAATATCGGCCGTTAATATCGGCTCAGTTTTACATATCGGACTGATACCGATACTCTAAAAAATGACCAATATTGGTTGTTAATGCTGATATATCGTGCATCTCTAAAAACTATAATATAGCGGRTTTTTTTGTACTTGAAATTTGTGCTAAAAGTGCATTTAAAATGTGAAGTTATTGAGTTTTTACAGAAATAATAGCCTATTGTAAGCCAAAAAATCAAATCAAATCAATGCCAATTGTAACTTGCTTGACATTAGAAATATCTGAGTCTATGCCCACCTGGACAAGCCAGCCAGCATGGTGAGAGTCATGTTCAACTTCTCCAGTGCCTTCAACACAACCCAGYCTGCTCTCCTGGGGGACAAGCTGAGAGGGATGCAAGTGGATGACCCCCTTGTGTCCTGGATCATGGACTACCTGACTGGCAGACCACAGTACGTACGACTACAGAACTGTGCATCTGACAGACTCGTCAGCAACATCGCAGCCCCACAAGGAACGGTCCTCTCTCCCTTMCTCTTCACMCTCTACACCACGGACTTCAACTACTGCACAGAGACCTGCCATCTTCAGAGGTTTTCTGATRACTCAGCAGTAGTTGGATGTATCAGTGGCGGTGATGAGGACGAGTACAGAGCAACGTTAAGGACTTTTGTCTCCTGGTGCGAGCAGAACCACCTACAGCTCACCACCATCGGGACTTCAGAATATCTGATGGGACCTCTGCATCAGTCATTCTGCTTTTAGCTTTAGAGTACATCACTGTTATTTTCTATTTACACTGTATAGACACTAAAGTATGCTCATTGTTCTCTGTGTTCATTTGGTTATCCAGAGTGTTTATACTTATTTCTTCCTTGTGTACTCTAATACTCTTCCTTTATACTTTATCTCTAATGCTTACTTGAACGGTTGCAGCTGTAATAATTGCAATGTCCCCCTGGGGATCTTTAAAGTATTCTGATTCCAACAAACCTATTTTTTTATTCGGAGGATAGCATGTGTGCTAAATCAAGCTATTTTGTAATATGTATTTGTGTTTCTAACCCTCATACTTGCATTACAAATCTCTGGGTTAAAGCGACATTTTAATTTTGATGCATTTGGCAGCAATTTAATAAAAATGTTACAATCCTTTCCTTCTTCATTTTTATTAGAAATCCTTGTGGAAGCTTCATTAAAGGCCCTGTCACACTATAACATTTTAGACAAYTTATGAAAAAAATTGTTGACTATTTTACTCATATTGGATATTTGATGTAATTGTTAGCATTACAGTAATTATAGGTCCAAAGGTGGCTTCCAGTAGATTTTTTTTAATTAATCTTCAGCTTGGACAGACTTTTCATCAGTTGGCATAAGTTGTCTAAAACATTATAGTGTGACAGGGCCATAAATCTGTAATCCCATTTCAATCAAGAGGAAACAGATTCATGTATCCTGAACAAGGATGCTGTGCAGACTCTTGCAGCTTCCTATCAGTTATGTCCAGCTGACAGCTGTATTATCCAGGTGTTATTGGCTGTGTGCTGGTGATAACGAGCCTGTTCGAACAAATCAGACACTAACCTGCTTCGGCTGCAGACACCAGGTGTTCTCCTGCACTCAGTTCATTCTGACGCCCTTCCTTTGTGTAACCTTTGATTGCGTTGTAACTATAAGGGAACAGATTGTTTAATTAGGCATTCCACTGCACAGGAAGTCACCTTTTTTGGAATCATTTGCAGTCAAATAGATTTTCCAGTCTGAAAGTTTACATACAAGAAGAAGTAGAGACCCCAAGATGCTCCAGCACCCCAAACATTGGGTGTCACTCCTTGGTAAAGACCCCTCAGCCCCTCCTGGTGCCACACACTCTTCATACAGTGAAACATCCCACTGTACTTGGGTCTCAACTCCAGGCCGTCGCTTGCTATTAGAAAATACATTAAGTCGTGGTAATATCTTAATTCTTTAAATTAAATGTAATATGTACAAATCCAATACAGCCTACCTGCAAATCTGATCTTAACCAGATCCAGCGGGTGAAGCACGAGCGTGGACACGACTCCCCCGCTGAGTCCTGCCACCAGGTTTTCTATTTTCACATGGCTGAACACCTGCAAGACGCTTCCGGCCACAGAGAAGGGTTTTCTGGACAGTCCGGTTTCTGTAACGGCTCCATGATTAGGAGCCGAGCTCATGTTTACGTTAAACTCTGCCGAGCTAGCTAAGTTTTATTACAGCCCCGCGAGCAGCTAAATCAATAAAACTCAACAACCTTAACTTACTCTAAAAAACGGAGACAACCGGTTAAAACTGCTGCAGCGATTAAATAAAACACAAAGACGATAAAGGGCTGTCATTTTTACTACATGGCAGGCACTGAGATACTCCACAGGTACCACATCAGTTTACCAGTTGTCAACTCGCATTTCCACTCGACCTTGCTCAGAGCGTGAAATGAACTAGCATGTCGGCAGCTCAACTTCCGGGTTTTACTTTCAAAATAAAACTACCAAGGTGGGTACTACGGAARCCGAGAGGGGCCATTTCCCGCTTATGATAATTCCCCTTGGTTTTCTCGTGATAACAAGTTAATTATGTCGTTATCAGTGTTGTATAAAGTACCACAACGTGATACTTGAGTAGAAGTACAAGTATCTTACCACAAAATTACTTTGGTAAAATTTAAAGTCACCTTTAGGAATATTACTTAAACATCTTAAAGTATCTGATATTTTTTGTACTTAAGTATTAAAAGTAAAAGTTTTGATTTAAAATGACCAGTTAAATTCTCTGTAATGACATTTATTAGGAGGTGACCTCCCCAAAAAAATGCAGAAATGACTGTTGTATTAGAATAATTAATTTATGTTAAATTTAGGATGCACTAGTCTAGCTGTTTCAGTTTATATACATATATCAAGGGTGCCCAAACCATTTCCCCAAAATGAAAATCTATCTGAGGGCTGAGGGTCAAATGAAATAATATAATTCATGATTATATTATCACAACTCAAGACTGCACATGCACCTCTGTTAGTTTAGATAAAAATACCCCAAATGAAATACTAGAGGGGGGTGGTACCCAGTGGTTTGATTTAATGGATAATTTTTGCAAAAATAACTTATCATTCCTTATTAGTTTTTATGTTTGAAGAACAGGGAAATGCCAATCCTGTTTTAGGTGAGATCAGTTTAGTTTAAATTCAAAATGTTATATTAGAAAATTTGTCTCATGTCCTTTTTTCAACTGCCACATTACAATCTGTGGCCAGTAAATTAGTAGACCAGCTTAATCATGTTAATTATCAAAGTTTGATGAATGAATGACATATTGATTTTTGCAAATATGTTTATGTTATGAGACCCAGTAAAAAAAGTTAATGATAAAAATAAGAAACAAGGTAAAAGAAACAGATTTTACTGATGAGGAATTGAATGATTTATGGAATGACATGAGATTTGCTGAGAAAAGGCCACGCAACGGGAATCGATAGTGCACAACCACCTCTCAAAAAGCCTTGTTCTCAAGACCATAATGACTGCAATATTGACCAGGTTATCGTTGTAAATGAAGGCTTACATGATAAAATAAAGGCTTAAATAATGTTGAAAATTTTGGGGTAACCCCTGAGGTTGGGAACCACTGGCCTAGTGGCTTTTTTTCTGAATAAGTGGATTGATCTTGAGTATTTAGGATCTGTCTGGTAAACTCRGATAAAAGATGAAAATTTTCATCTTCTGTTGGGATTGTAACCTTTTTACACCCTGATGATTTAATTGTTTGCATTTTTATATAATCAATACAAATCTATCATTATAAAATTTTGTTTCTTGTATAGCTGCCTTTGATGGTCACAATGGAAAAAAGTGTGTGTGTGTGTGTGTGTGTGTGTGTGTGTGTGTGTGTGTGTGTG